ATATATATATAAAAGTAAATTATCCTATAAAATAAAATAGAAGATTTTAAAATGTTCTCTGATTTTAATATTCGTAGATAAAAATTTAATGTAGAATAAGATAGGAATAATAAAGAGTAAGAGTCAAGAAACATTTTACAAAACTAAGGATAGATTAATTAAGGAAAAAAGTTTTCACAAAACTTTTTTATCTCAATTTTATACAGTAATTAAGGGAATGGCTGAAATAAAGACACAATTTTTACTTAGACTGTTTTTCCAAAAATTAGCACAAATAAAAGAATCAATGTTGCTTATATATGTTAAACATATGTTGGTTATATATGAACATATTTTTATTATCTTATAGTGGTAAAAATGATATGAATCTAATGATATGATCTATGGAAAAAAGAAAAGGGAAAAACATTTGCTGTAATTAAAAAGTAGCAAGTTATTTTAACTTTTTTCAAAATCAATTTTTCAAATCAATTTTATAATTAGTTTCTTATTCCATCTATTCCCTTAATTTATGTTTATTATTTTACACAAATGGATTTTGAATAAGATATAAATATTAAAAATTTTATTTTCTATATGTCGAGAGCAGCAAAGTTAAAATTCTTTTTTTAAATCAAAGGCAATTCTGTAATTGATTTATAGGATGATTTGTGTTTTTAATATAGGTTTCATATTTGATAGAAAAATAAATTTTCAAAGATTTTTTATAATCAAAATTAGAAAGTATATTAAAACTAGAATTAGTTCTCTAATTCGATTTTATAGAATTATATATTTTTATATATAATTCTATGAAAGTGAGATACGCAACTGAAACAATAATATTATAAATATTCATTTTAGCGGAAACTGTTTCAAACATATATTGCACAGTTTGACTCTATATCACATAATCTTTTTATTTGTAATTTAAAAATTACTTTCAATTTTTTTGTAGGGAATAAAATTTTTTTATAACAAAAATTGTAGGGAATAATAATACAACTATAAATCAGGGAATATTGATATAACTATAATAAACAATATTATCTTCAAATAATTCTTTCCTGATTTATTATATTTGGAATTTACAAATTTATTATTATTATTATTATATTATATTTAATTTATTATTATTTATTATTATTATTATTATTATTATTTATTATACGAGTATATTTTATTATTATTGCTTTTATTTTATACTCACCAAATTTGACATCGTTAAATTTTTTTATCATTATTTCAAAAATATAATTTATAAAAACAATCGACCATTCTTGAAAATAATGCAACGAAATCATCAATTTAATGATACATGTATACATACATACATATATCTTTGATAGATTTCACAAAGACATTAAAGAGATTAAAAATCTATTTTGAACTTAGAAATTATTTGTATGTATTAAGCTGATGTAACCTGAAATAACATCTACTCAACATTTGATAATTAAGTTAACATTTGATAATTAATTTTTCACTCTAACACTCTTTAATTGTTGAATAAATCTATCTTTATTTTCATTATTTATCATTAAAAAGTTATCCAATATTTTTGAAAAAGAAAAATCAAGTCAAAGATGTTGAAAAACTTTGTAGCTAAAAATTAATATAATATAATTTAAAAAAATTAATATAATATAATATAAAATAATAACTTAATTGTTTTAGATTAACGTTAATTGTGTATGATATTTCTGTTACATACTATACACATTATGTGATATGATACACACTATACACGTTGTATGTCATGATTGCAGGGATATATTCTTCAAAAGAAGAAATTCAACTTAAAGCACCTACTGACTTGTCATTTTTTGAACGTTTGAAAGGATCATTAAAATCATTTCTCAGTCAACATATGACTCCACAGGTTTGTCTAGTTTTTTTTTTTTTTTTTTTTTTTTAATTATTATTTAGGTCATATATTCCATTTCACATTTACAAAACTTAAATAATATGAAAATTCTGTATATTTGTAGGCAACAACTATTGCATCAAATTTGGATATGATGATTCCTGTAATTGAATCACAAGAGGATCAGGAGGACATTATTGATTTTCATTATTTTCATGCAGAAATTGTTAAAGATTCGCTTGGTGGTGAAGTTAGAATTACTGCTGCATCCGAAGCTACAATTATCGTCTTGAGACCAGTTTCTACACCAATGGAGATTTTGTGGCATCAGTTGAAAGAAGTATTCGTGAATCAAATATTTATCAACAGTAAACAGAATAGAGGTATAAGAATTAGGAGTTTTATTTTGGAAAGCTATTACAATTGGGTTAATAAAGCGCGTGGCATAGTTACTAAAACATCACTGTCGTATAAAGTTCGATGGTTCTTAAGTGAATTATTAGTGGTCGCGCCAAACTCGTCCATTAAAAAAATGGGACAATTACTGCAACCAAACAAGCAGAAACTATTGAAACAATATTTACTCACTAATATGGATACTATGGTGCTGAATTTAAAAACTGTAGCTACAAAATTAAAGAGTATGAAATCTGTAAGGCCTGAAATGGAACAATTGCTCAAAATCTCAGAATCTGGCATAGCACAAGTTGAAAATTATTCATTTTTACGTCATTTGTTAACTGATTTATTCGATGAAGACGAGATCATTAATCAACACATTGTCCTCTTGGATCGTATTCATGCAGAGGTTCATACTATGTATCAAGAAATATTAATTGATGGTGTGCAAAGACATCTAGAAAAATCAGGAATAGAAGATAGCTCATATTACGATATATTGATTGCCGATTTGCAAAAGAATTTAAAAAATATAGACAAAGGAGAAAATTTATTTGGAAAAACTAAAGAAAATAATGTGGCAGTCGCGGAATTTATCAGTGATAGTAATGGGGGAAATAAATTGGAATTGGAAGATAAAAATATAAAAATCTTCAAAAAAACTAAAGAATTGAGCACTGAAAAATTAGAGGATATTGAGTATTTCATATTAACAGAAATAGAAAAAGCTGTAAAATATTCTGAGCAAAATATTTTACAAAAATATGAAGATATAAGTGATGAATCAAGAAATATTGTGAAAGGAAATGAAGAAGATAAAAAGGCCATTAAATCTAATGATGTTACCTTGCAATCCACTCAAAATCAAAGCAAAGGTGAAAATAGAAAGAAAATTCAAAGTACTTTACAGGAAGAGATAGACTTTTTACGGATATCAAAAGTAGTAGATGCCAAGCTCAAAGAAACAAGTAAAGACAAACAAAGAAAAAATTCTTATATAAATTCTGTATCAGATGATACTAATAAGATTCATATTTCTAATATGCCTCTGACTATAGATATCTCCAATATAAGGACAGCTTCTCCCAACAAAAAACATACTGTATTACAGGAATTAGGAAAAGATATTGATAATGTACAGCGTAATCGTGAGATTAACTTAAAAGCAGAATCATCTAATCAGAAAGATTCATTTGAAAATAAAATAATATCTACTGATTTATTAGAAGCATTTGAAAAATCTAAATGGGATATTAACGAAGAGAAAATATCTGAAAAGAAATCAGACATTACAGATACACGATATAATTTCGCAAAATCCAATGAAATAAACTATGATGAGGAAAAATATATGAATAAAGATGAAGATAAGGAAGCTAAACCAAAATCGCATAAAATAGCTAAACATATCGATGATGAATTATAACAATAGCTTAGACTAAAATACAATTATTGTGCAGAAACAAAATTTTCAGCGGCCTGATATTTTTGCATTGTGATCTAAACATAGTAAATTACAACTGATATACATGCGTGATGCATTTTGTGTGTATGTGTATTGTGTGTGTGTGTGTGTGTGTGTGTGTTGTGTATGTGTGTGTGTTGTGTG